TATTTTATAGAGAAACACCTGTGAGTAAGGCTCACTACATATTATTAAAAATGAATCTGCTGTCCAATTTCAGTATAAACTGAAAGACAAAAGGTGTTTTAATTTAGCAGAACAATTCCTTTGAGTTAGGCCCAATACTAATAGATAGGACATATACTCTTCTTTACTGTGTAATCAGAAAAAAGTCAATAATGCAAAAACTTCCATTAATCATGTAGCTCCTAAATGGCAAGGATTTTCATATGAGAAGGAAGTAGATTGCTTGAGTGCCTATTTGAATAGACTGTTTTCCCTGGAAAAGTAAATTTGGTTATTAGAATTTGTTGATTTCTAGAAGCTGGAAGAATTTGGAGACACGAATACCTTCTACTGTGTTTTTCCTTTGGCTGTTTGTCCTTTATTATTTTACTACATAAAACCATTCTTTGAAAAAGAAAATAACTGTGTAATCTTGCTTCTGTCTATTCAGAAACACCAAAATATCCTCCCCAATAATCTTGATTTCTTTCAACCTTTGGGGGTTGTTAGTATTAAAATTTCTCCTTACGGATTTAGAGGAAAGTTCTCAAATTAGATTAATTGCCCTCCTCTTTCTCTGCTTGTGATCCTTGAAGATTAGTATGACCCTTAAACCACTTTGTTTTCCACACAGACTTTTTGGGCTATTAAATTCGTCTTGTAAACATTCCCAGAGATGTTGCTAGGAGAATCTTTCTATAAATACTTTAACTGTTTATTTTTAACACGTTTGATTTCTTATCTAAAATGCTCTATTCTTTATAGTTGGAAGATTTAAATTATTAAATGGATAATCAAAGTTTTATACCCAATAATTAAATTTAGTGTTAATTTCAAACTTATTTTACTAAACCATATAAAATTGCCATATATAAGGTAAAAATGTTCCAGTATCAATAATTTTCTATTTCAATCCAATATTTTCTTCTTTTCTTTTTTAAAAATATTTTCTTCCTTACCATGAGAGACTCAGGAGAATAATGGAGAAGGGTTTGGATTCAGGAGTCAAACAGGCAAAGCATTAAATTATATAGCCAAATCATGTATTAGCTGTGTATTTGTGGATCATTTATTTAATCTTTTTTAGGCTTTGTTTCTTCAACTGAAAATTCTGTTATTAATAGCATTCACTGCATTAAATTATTGTGAATACTATAAGAATTAATGTATACACTGTGTTGTTATAGAGTGACTGCTGGAAAAAATGTTAGTAGAAGTTATTATTATTATTAATTTTTTTTAGACAGGGTCCCACTCTGCCACTTGGGCTGGAGTGCAGTTGATGCCATCATAGCTCACTGCAGTCTTGACATCCTGGGCTCAAGCAATTCTCCCACCTCAGCCACCTGAGTAGCTGGGACTATGGGTGTGTGCCATCACGCACAGCTAATTTTTTCCATTTTAGTAGAGGAAGTCTTGCTATGCTGCCCAGGTTGGTTTTGAATTCCTGAGCTCAAGTGATCCTCCTGCTTTGGCCTCCCAAGTGCTGGGATTACAGGTGTGAGTGACCAGATCCAATAGAAGTTATCAGCATTGGATTTAATTAAGATTTCTATTGTATTTCTTTTTTTTTTCTTGAACTTCCTGATTAGTTTGCTTGGTTTACATTAACTGCTCTTTAATTCGAGCCCATTGCATTTTCAAACATTATATCATTTGATACTAAGAGTATGATATTATCATACATGTATCATATGATATCCATATGATACTCATATGGATAACATTCCACCATGTAAAACTCATAATGTTCATAGTATCATATGTATGAGGCTCATATGTGTACATATGCATCATATCATATGTATGAGGATCATATGTATACGTATGATACTATGAACATTATGAGTTTTACGTGGTGAAATTATTATTCTCCTTTTCTAAACAAGGAAATTAGGATATGTGACTTTTTTTTAACGATCACACAACTAGTAAAAGGTAAAGCCAGGATAAGATCTCACTAATCTTTTTACCATGTTGGCTTTTATAAGAACCTTTTAAATGGATATTTCTGAGCAGCAAGAATTCTAACATCAATGGCATTGGATTGCCATTATCATTTTGGAGAAAGTCTTCTCTCATTTGTTATAAATTTCTATAATAGCTAACAATTATTTAGCAACCAATATGTACCTCATACTATATAGCATATGTATATATTAGTACCTCATACTATATAGCATATGTACTTCTAATATGTACATAACAACTCATAATATTGGTAACTCTCATTATCCCTGTTTTACAAACACAAAAATGGAAAGCTAGTAAGTAAGTGAAGTCAGTATTTGAAACAAAGCAGTCTGCCTCTAGGACCTATGCTCTTAAACACTGTGCTATACTACCTCTTAGCAAATAGTACTGCAAGCTTTTAAAAATACATATTTTTAAATATATTCATTGTTGCACTTTTTTTTTTTTTTTTGAGACAGGGTCTCAGTCTGTCTCCCAGGTTGTAGGGCAGTGGCACAATCATGGCTCACTGCAGCCTCAGCCTCCCCAGGTTCAGGCAATCCTCTCACCTCAAGCCTCCCAAGTAGCTGAAACTAAAGGCACTCACCCACCATGCCCCAGCTAATTTTTGCACTCTTTATAGAGACAGGGTTTCGCCAGGTTGCCCAGGCTAGTCTCCAATTTTTGGGCTCCAGTGATATGCCCACCTTGTTCTCCCAAAGTATTGAAATTACAGGTATGAATCACCATGCCTGCCAGTACTGCAAACTTCACTGCCTTTCAAACTTCCATTGATTCTCAAGCAGTGTATTTCAGCATGTTATGTGCAAAACAACAACAACAACAACAACAACAACAAAAAAACAACTTTGCCTTCTCAAAATTTGATGTGCAATGCTGAATAGAAATAGTTTCTGAGGAGGTTTCTACTCTCACAGGCAAAACTGGCTACATAATTAGTAGAGCCCAGTGCAAAAGAAACATATGGGGTCCCTTGTTAAGAAATAATGGAACTAAAACAATTTAGCATTAAATTATGTGTGTGATCTTTTTGGGTGTGAGGCACTGTGAGACTACATAGTAGCAGGCCATGAAACCCTCCCTGCTCACAGGGTTATGATCCTGAATCCAGCCTTGTTCCTGTGCAGCTATCCTTTTTAGACCTGCGTAAAGCTTTGTAGCAGAAATACTGGTGACCTTTTAGTAAATCTTTCCCAGAAACACTCCAGATCTCAACTGAGAATATTCTGAGGCAACAGGAAGTAGGACTTGAAAGGGAAACAAGGCCACCAGGCTACAGTCTGGATGACTTATACTATGAAAAAGGAGAAGCATACACCACTTTTTGTCTTAGCAGCCAGAGTGAGATAGTAGTCAGGAAGTGTGGAGAAGAAACAGGAAGCTCTGGGTAACTCCTACCACCCCACAAAGAGGGCATCACCCTTTTCTTCCATCAGAATGGTGGCAGAAACCTGTGAAATAACATCCATTTGTCTTTGTTTCTTGGAAGAAGTTCATATTAATTTCTGTCTAAAATTAACAAGCCTGGCATTGGTTATTCAAATGCTTTTAGCTCACAATGTTTTAACCCTTCTTCCTTCTAAAAGTAGAAGAGAGTTGCATTACCGAAAAATACCTGTTATTAATTTTTAGACTTTGTTGTGCACAAGGTATTGTCATTCAATCCTGTAGGCAGTCAAGAATCCGAGTCAGTGCTTTTAGAGTCCAAGTATATAGGCTTAAGCTCTGGTCCCTCCACTTACTGATTCTTCAATCTTGAGAAAGCTAATTAATCTCTCTGAGCCTCAGCTTTTTAATCTGCAAAATGAGAAAAATCTTAAATCGTAACAACCTCAGAGAATTACTATATGCATTTGATGTATAAATATACTTAGTATAATACCTGCCTGGCACATCAGAAGAACTCAGCAAATTATAGATATTTTTATTTCATGTAAATACGCATATTTCTATATATAAATATATTTATATTTCACACATGTATACATTTTAAGTGTGTAACATGTAGCTACTTTGAAGTTCTGAGTTTTAAGCTATCAGATATTGGTGAGGGGAAATGCTTAGCTAGGAGGATGCCTGTAACAGAGCCTAGTTTTGAGCTTCTGCCTGTCTTTGCTAACTCAATATTCAACTTACATAGCATTTAAATTCAGCTATTACTGCCCACACAATTATGGGCTTTCTCAGTATAATCCCTATGCTTCACATCAAGAAGACTGAGTGTTTACCTGAATCTAAATCTAATATAATGCTCAGAAAAAGTCAGGTGTCCTTCTTGTCTGAAATGGTGGTAATGTACTTCCAGGTGTTTTACAGAGCATTAATTAGGATATATAAATTGCCATCTATTAAGGTTACCTAACTTAGCAACTCTCTCCCTAATCTCTAGCCATCTGATGTATCTTTTCATGTGTTACTTGATTTTAATCACAGAAAAATAAATGGAAAATAACTTGAACTCTAGTATCTTTTTCTGAGTACATCAACGTAGCATATATCCAGGTTTCCCTCTAAAATTTCACTTTTATAGTTCCCTCGAGGTTATTGAAGAAAGAAGTTTCATTATTATATTCTCAATATAGAATTCACCAAAAAATATTAATTTGAAAAAAAGAAAGAAATGCGGAGGCAACTGTATTCCAACATAAACATTATTTACCACTTCTTATTGTCTAAATATGCAAATAAAAACAAAAATAAGGAATGCTTCTCTGTTGCTTTGGTAGTGGATAAAATAATTTCAACAGTAGTGTTTTAAAAATCTACTTGATAAATGTGTTTTCTGTGAAATGAGTTATTTGTTTTTTGTCATTCAGTTGGAAAATTGAATGTAAAAATAAAATAAATGTGAATGTGAAAATGAAAGCCTCACAAAAATTCCCCTGAGTGAACATCTATGACTTGGAGGTTTGACTGAATAAATTATTCCTGGGCTTTTGAATTATTAATCTTGACTGCATGATATGCAAATAAGACTGTACTAACCATGTCCAGCGGCACAGCGCTGGGTCAGAAGCTATATCCAGCTGCTGGCAGAGTTTCTGTGAAGGGATCAGGACTTCCAACAGAATGGTAAGCTGCATGGCCAGTTGTGTCTCTCAGTGTATAAAGTAAGGCCAGATATCCTTGTAAAGGTGGCCTGTAAGCAATTAAGGTGTTAAGTATTAAGTGTTTAAGTTAATTCTTTACTAATAGATGTAAAACAGCAAAAGAATAGAAAAGGAAGTCATTATTTATATCTCTACATTTATTTTTCAACAAATTAACTTTCTTGTTTTAGTTGTCAAATACTAATTTTACTTTCTTCAAAGGGATTTATTATATTTGCTAACGTCTCAACAATTTATATTTCAACAAGAATAGTAATCGAATTTACTTAAATAAATATAACTACTTATGGGGAAAAAATTGAAGTTCCTAAATCATTTGAAACAATCATGTATTTTATATATATATAAAGGTTTTTTATATATAGGTATATTTATAATATATGTGTATTATATTTTTATTAATTTACTAAATATATTTATTTAATATATAAAATATATTAATATATTGTAATGTAAATATATATATATTATGAGACAGAGTTTCATTCTTGTCACCCAGACTAGAGTACAATGACATGATCTCAGTTCACTGCAACCTCCACATCTCAGGTTCAAGTGGAGTGGGTGGGATTACAGGCCCCACCACTACTATGCCAGGCTAATTTTTTTGTGTTTTTTAGTAGAGACGGAGTTTCACCATGTTGGTCAGGCTGGTCTCAAACTCCTGACCTCAGGTGATCCACCTGCCTCAGTCTCCCAAAGTGCTGGGATTACAGGCATGAGCCACCGTGCCCAGACATAATATTTTTATGTTTAGAAAATAATGTATTTGAGGGAATTTTCAGGCATCCTAAAAACTAAATTTAACAAATATGCGTGTGAAAATTATATTATCCAAGAATATAATTTACTTAGGAAAAATAAAAAATTGTAGAAATCATTTATATTTTACCTTCAATATCTTTTCAAAATGCATGTGGTATTTTTAAAGAAATTAATACACAATTGTGCCATACTATTATCTTTTAATATTTTAATTTCTGATGTAATGTATGGAATACATAAAAATAAAGTTATAAATGTTAAATTATTCTGTCTTTTCAATGTGAACATATATTTTTACTCAAATTGCTTAGTAATAGAAAAAGTAATTTGTTAAAAAAATTCTCATATTACTATGTAAATTTGCCTTAAGGTAGTACTTAAAAGTAAAAATTTTACAAGTTTTCTTTGTTTAATTGTGATGACTATAAAAGCAAACAATTAAAAAGCCTAGAAACTATCAAATTTATATATATTAAAGTAAATTTCAAAAATGCCACATCTTCAAAAGGCTGAATATGTTTAAAGTAAAAAATATTTTTAAATTAAAAATGAGTAAGAATTATTGATCTGCTTATGTGAGTAAATTAGGTATTGCTTCCAGTTCAATAATTCTAACAGTTTTATATATATTTTTGGACTAGGAGCTAAAGATTTCACTTTAATTTCTGATCTTAAAAATAAAAACCTGTTTAAAATAATTCATCCAAATCAGTTACAATTCATCACTACTTCCATTTCCTAAAAATTAAGAATATAACCACTAGAAAGCAGAAGAGAGAATTTTAATTTTCATGACAGAATTTTCTCTTCAATTCGAAGTTTTGCTTAAAAGAGCAACTTACTTCATATGTTTATAGAATTGTGATGCCACACTAAAAACATACCTGACTACAAATATATCCAGTTTGAAATATAGTACCTTCAAACTTGTGTATCCTGGTGAAGCTAAATTAGTCTGCAAATATTGGACATCTTGTATTTATAAAACCATAATCTATTAGAATTAGGAACTTAGAAAAAGGAATGAAACAAATGTATCAAAGAAAGATTATAAAACATCATAAAATATCATTTTTGTAAATATAAATTGAAATAAATATTAAAGTGTAGAAGGGTACCCAAATATTAGGAATGGTCTGTTTACAGACCATTTTTGTTTCTTGTTTTTGCCTATTTGATTCTTTTGAGTGTTACACGACTAACAATAATTTTGTACATACATTTTTTAAGTTGTTTTTAAAAAAATAAACAACTCTATGAGAAGCAAGGCAAATATGATGATTTAGCCATTCATTTTTCTTATTCCAACTCTGGTATTCTCCACCCCTACTACTCCTTCAATCTCCAACCTTCTGGACTACTGTACAGCAGAATGCTCCTTGACTTTTATGTGACCCCTCACTTACCTGAGTGTTAGTTACAGGAAATTGGGAAGCCTTTGTGGCTATATTTTCCTTCCATTGCAGCCAAATCTTTCTGCTGTGCACAATACATAAGCTATTAACATTAGCAGTGCTGACAAGGCAGAAAGATAGACGTTATGACCAGAAAAAAGGAAATGCAAAAATGAAACAAATTTCTTGTGTCATAGAATTTTCTGTATCTTAATTTTCATTTGAATTTGTGCACCAGCTTTGTGAGTACCCCCAAAACAACACAAGAGTTCTGAACTAAGACCTTAGAAGGTTCAACATTTAAACGGGCAAAGAAGGATTAGTCCACAAAAGAGCCTGAACATGGAGAAAGGAGGAAAACAAGGAGATTTTTTTTCCTGCTTTCTGTGACATATTTGTCACAAAGACAGGAAGAGAGTGCTTCCAGAAATGGAAGTGGACTTAAATGCTACTGAGACTAAAGATTAATAGTGAAAACTGACCATTGAGCTAAACAATGAAGTTTGTTAATATTTTAAACAGTCCATTGACATTTTTGCTGTATTTCTAGAAATTTAAAGTCTTTAAAATCATCAAATAGATGCCTATTTTGAGAGAAAAAATGATGGGAAATTTAGATAAAAAGAGAAAGTGCATAATAAAAACTACCTGAAATCTCATCAATAGAGATAAAAGTATTAATACTTTAATGCATCCCTTTCTAGACGTATGTTTATTATTTTAGGTGTCATTTCTTAATTAAATGCTTAAATTTAAAAATTTATCCTTGAAGATAGATATTTTATTTTACCTTGTACAAATGTGTTTCTAAACTACAGCTACTACTACTACTACTACAATTGCCAGCTTTGAATACTTACATTATACATAGTGTTGGCTTTCACAGTGAAATAAAGCAATGAGCTTAATTTGATTGTCTTGCTACTTATTTGGCCTTGGAGAAAATACTTATAAAAATGCTTTGTAAATAGGTGTTTATATTCATCTTTTCACTTAACAAGGATTTATACACCACCTATTACCTGCTGGTCACTGTGCCAGATTTGAACACTAAAAAATGAGTAAGACAAAGTTGTAAAAAATTCTAAGAAGTTTAATATAAAGCAATAGCATAAATGGGGGGATCTAGTTTAGACTGAGGGTCAGACAGCCTATCTTGGGAAACCTGCACTTGAACAGAGAGGCCAGGTATCACAGAACAAAAACAGCAGTGAAAAGAGATTCAGACGGAGGGATTGCACATGAAGAAGGCTCTCTCTGCATTCAAAGAGGAAACAAATGAGTTAGGAGGAGAGTAAGGCCAAGGAAAATTGAAGTGAGTACAGGGGCCGGATCATGCAGATCTTGATATCCCCCTTAAGGATTTTAGACTACATTCCTTGGATAGTGGAAAGGTAATGGGTTTTGATCAGGGAAAGCTGTATGATCCGATTTTGAATTGTAGTTTTTCAAGACTGTTTAGTTATAGTGGTAAAGATGAATTGATGAGGGCCAGAGAGGATGTGAGGAGACAATAGGAGACTATGACATAGTGCAAGATAGAGATGAGAGTAGCCTGGACTGAAATAATAATGAAAGCTATGGAGCAGGATTGATAGATTTGAGAAATATCCAGACATTACAGTGAACAGACTTGGTAGTTTATTCATTATTGGTGTTAAGTTTTAGATGATTTTGAGGATATTGCTAGATTTTTATGAACACCTGGGTACATGGGAGAACCATTTACTGAAATAGGTGAATATGCTGCAGGCTGGGTAAGGAACTTGGAGAATTTAGTATAGGATTTCTGGAAGCAGAGATGCCTAAGAGAAATCATTTAATGGCAATGAAAAACTAGAGTTTTTAAGGCAGATCCAAGCTGGGCTGGAAATCTGGGAGTTGTTGATGTGTAGTTCACTCAAAAATGAATGAGATCTTTCAGGCAGAATTTATGGAAAGATGGAGCCCAGAAATTAGCTTTGAGTTACTCAACACTTAATGCTTGAGCCAAGAAGACTTGGGCCCCAAAGGTGCGTGCAAAGAACAACCAAGGAGAAAGAATGAAAACTAGGATATTGTCATGTCTCAGAAGAAAATGGAAGAGTGTTTCTGGAAGATGTAGTATTAAAAACAACTGAGAAATAAAATAAGACTAGTGAGAAATAATTATTGGATTGAGCAATGTGGAGGCTACTTGTAGGACTGGTAGATCAGAAGCCAAATTGGAGTAAGTTTAAAGGGAATGGGGTGTCAAGATGTTAAAACACTTAGTGAGATGGCTCTTTTCAGAAATCAAACTATGAAGAGGAGAGGAACATGTGAAACTAGGGAGAGTTGTTTATGTTGCTCCAGTTATGTTTAAGACTGAAGAGATGAGAGTGTTTAAATGCTGATGGAAAAGATGAGATGCAGACTGAAGATGGAGAGAAGGATGCTAAAATGTCAGAAAAGAGGAAATAATGGTAGCATAGAAATGCTGAGAATTTGTGAATGAGTTGGATCTAGCATAAGCTCAACAAATGGTCTCTATCTCAATGACCCAGGAGGCAAAACTATTTGCTAATAATGAGTAAGGTAGAGTAAATGAAAAGACTTTTAAGAGATTAAAAAATATCAAATGACAGAAATATGGAAATATTCTGGCAATGTGAGAGAACAGTAGAATTAAGCAACCTCGAAGATAGAGTGAAACCAACCTGCTTTATTCTTCAGCAGCATTCCGTGTCTGCTGCTTCAGAAACTTCCCACTCAGCTTTGTCTGGAATTGGACTTAGTGGCAGGTTGCCGTAGAAGGATTCAAGAGACTCAGAAAAATGTACGATGTTTTAAAGCAAGTGATTAAAAATAACTTTTCAAAATATTCAACTTATTGTATCTTCAATTCTGTGACTTATTTGCATAAATGAAACACTCTCAAAATAGCAATGATCTTTAAAGTAAACCACTTGAATTTGACAAAAATACATATGAGTTTTCCAGATGCCTTATAATAGCAAAGTCTACTGAATTTTGCATGCTTCCCTTAAAAAAGCGATTTAGGTGAATTTATTCTTATTTTGTTCTGGTTACCAAAATTCTATATTGAAAGAATTCTTTGATTGCAAGTAATCCTACTTGACAAGGAGGATTTTAGGACATTTTATTTTTAATCTTGGGTTTCCTCACTAGAAATAAAAATATTTAATATTTATAAATATTATAATTTATATTTAATATTTTAAATTTATATTAAATATTTTAAAAATATTTAATATTTAATAATGACAATTCAATACATTTTTCAGGTAATTCAAGTCGTTGAAATACCCTATCCAATCACAATCTGGTCTCATGATAAGAGGAAAAAGTGTAGATTAGCAAGACACTTGAGGTTTGAGTAAGTCAGATAGCTTATTTCTGTGGTATATATTCAGAAGGTATTACAAAAAAGGTCTTTCACTAAGCATGTGACGAAGGCAAGTGCTATGGTCTTAATATTGGTGTCTCCTCAAAACGTATGTTGGAACCTAATAATATTAAAATGTAGGGCCTTTGGAAAGTGATTAAGTCATGAGGACTCTGCCTTCATGAATGGGATTGGTATCCTTGTGAAATAAGTTGAAGCAAGCTGCCTTGCCCTTCTGACATTTGTTGCGAGGACGCAACAGCCATCGTCTTTGAAGCAGAGGGTGACTTTTCATCAGACACCACATCAGACACCTTGATCTTGGACTTTTCAGCCTATAGAACTGTGAGAAATAAATTTCTATTATTTATAAATTACCCAGTCTGAGGCATGTCATCTTTCAATCAATCATGACCAATGTTAATATTACTAAGATTTTGTTTCCTATTTTTAATTAAAAAAAATAAGTTTTAAAACTGGAGTTGTATCATAGTTTATGAATTTAATACAATAAGTAGAATTCTTTGGCAATATGGAAACAAGTAAAAGCTTAAAATAGTGAGAATGAAGTTTTAAAGATTCTTATTTCCTCTTCTGGATTATGGTTTAATTCAGTTTAACACAGCAGAATTTGTTGAACAACTGCGGTACACTGGGGACCGTGGTATGTTGGGAGACACAAAAGTGAATTCAAAATTTTCTCTTCACTTATTTTATCACACTTCCCCTCTGTTTCTTTGCTGTTTGTCAAGCCCTCTATGTGTGTTTCCATATTAATGCCTTTACATGTGCTCTTCCTTATTCCTGAAACACTTCCTGCAAATACAGATATGTCTCTTTCACTTTCCTCCTTGAGGTTTCTGTTTAAATGTCATCTTGTATAAAAACCTTTCCCTTATTACCACATGTAAAAAATAGCTCAATACCACCCTCCATCCCAAAATTTTCTAACATTTTTACCTTCTCATATGTTTTTCTTCATAGCACTTATCATTATATGGCATCACTTATTGTTTATTTCCTGATTCTTCCCAAGACAGTATAAATTTGTTAGAGATTAGGCACCTTGATTTATTCACTGCTGTTATCTCCAGTGCCTGAAATTATATTCAGCACATAGTTGAAAGGTATTCAAAAATATTTGTTAAAATAATATGTTAATGACATATATGTGTATCTGTATGTATATGTACGTATGCTTTCCTACTAACTTACTTCCATAGTTCACCATTCAAGTGTTTTTCATTATTATTATGTTCTGCACAGTTTTGTCATTAGTCACAGTCTAGTGCTTAATTCTTATATTTTCTCTCTCTTCTTTAGGCATGGAATGCAACTTGCGAAAATTGGCTGGCAGCAGAGGCTGCCCTGGAAACGTACTACCTTTCCATTTTTTATGGGATGGAGTTCATTGTGGGAATCCTTGGAAATACCATAGTTGTTTATGGCTACATATTCTGTCTGAAAAACTGGAACAGCACTAATATCTATCTCTTTAACCTCTCTATCTCGGACTTAGCTTTTCTGTGCACCCTCCCCATGCTGATGAGGAGTTACGCCAAGAAAATATGGATATATGGAGACGTGCTCTGCGTAAGCAACCGATATGTGCTTCATGCCAACCTCTATACCAGCATTCTCTTTCTTACTTTTATCAGCATAGATCGATACTTGCTAATTAAGTATCCTTTCCGAGAACACCTTCTGCAAAAGAAAGAGTTTGCTATTTTAATCTCTTTGGCCATTTGGGTTTTAGTAACCTTAGAACTACTGCCAATACTTCCCCTTATAAATCCTGTTATAACTGACAATGGCACCACCTGTAATGATTTTGCAAGTTCTGGAGACCCCAAGTACAACCTCATTTACAGCATGTGTCTAACACTGACGGGGTTCCTTATTCCTCTTTTTGTGATGTGTTTCTTCTATTACAAGATTGCTCTCTTCCTAAAGCAGAGGAATAGGAAGGTTGCTACTGCTCTGGCCCTTGAAAAGCCTCTCAACTTGGTCATCATGGCAGTGGTAATCTTCTCTGTGCTTTTTACACCCTACCATGTTATGCGGAATGTAAGGATCGCTTCTCGCCTGGGGAGCTGGAAGCAGTATCAGTGCACTCAGGTCGTCATCAACTCCTTATACATTTTGACACGACCTTTGGCCTTCCTGAACAGTGTCATCAACCCAGTCTTCTATTTTCTTTTGGGAGATCACTTCAGGGACAAGCTGATAAATCAACTGAGACACAACTTCAAATCCCTTACATCCTTTCGAGGATGAGCTCATGAACTTTCATTCAAAGAAAAGCAAGGTGCTTATGAAACAGATTATTTCACAAATGCATCTGTAGGTTTGCTTTAACTCGCAGACATCAATCAGAGAGTGTCACAGATTTAACCTTTATCTAAAGACAAGTTGTACCCAGAGTATGTGAAAAGAATGGGATGACAAGAATGTACTGGTTTCTTCCTCTAAGAATTGAAAGGAGTTGGACTGCCTTAGGTTTGGGCATGCAACTCAAAAATACTAGATGTTATAAGACTTTCTCAGTCAGTGCAAAAATGCAAGATATATAAAGCAACAAGTTGTCTGCACTTGATCACTGGTCAGATTTTTTATAAAATTGTTTTGGCAACATTCTCTATGTTATTCTTACTTACATGATCATAGAACTTTATGTGAGAACTGAATAGCAGAAGATATATTATTAAATAGTTTTTAGAAGTTGTGCTGTTAAGCAAATTTAAAGTCAACAGTAATGATGATTAAGAAAGCAATATAATGAGTTCAAGAATATCTGTGTGATATATTTTTGTATTCATCATGAAGGGGGGTAGTTTTGTAATTTATTCATCCTTTTTTGTTGTATGGTTTATAGTGGAATCTTAATTTAAGTTAAAAAGAACCTAAGGAGATAATTCAACAAAAGTAGAGAATATGTTTGAGTTTGTCTGTCAGGGAATTTAGATATGAAAATACTAGAGAGATGCACTAAGGATATTTGAAAAAAAAATTTTTTTTTCTTGGTAGGCACAAAGTGCCTGTTTGCTCAGGAAACCCAGAGCAAAACAGAACAAAAGTGAGTACATTGTTTTTACGATGATTTTGCCATCTGGCATTTTATTATCATAATTTGACCACCAGTGCATGAAAATATATTAAACTTCATTAGCTTTCATAAAAATGAACTTTTCATAAAGTTCATAAAAATATATTAAAGTTCATTAGCTTTCTGCTCTTGATTTAATAGTGAACTTTAAAATACATTAATGTCATAAACCAGCAAATAAGGAGAAATAAACTGATAATAGTAGATTCATTGGGATGGTTTTCCATTTTGGAGGGAAAGTCACAATTTTTCTCCATGATTCTCATTTTTGGTAAACGCTGGGCTAATTTACAAGGACAACTTTATCATAGCAAGAGCAACTCACATCTGGAGTGAGCCTTGTTTTCATGAAACATTAAGACCATCAGAGAAAATATTTCAAACAAAATGTACTTGGTGAAATTATAGAACATGAAAATATTTATGTGAATGTTAATCTGTATTATCCCAGGTGTGTTAATGAGGCACCATTTTATGCCACAACACAAATGTAGGGGAAAACATGGGTGCTGCATTAGCTTTTTAAAGTCAAACAAGTATCACATGATAATTCACTGCCATGCAACATAAAGTGTCTGTGGCCACATGTCTAAGTTCCTTTCCCTTATATCATTAGCGATAAGGAGTAAATAATGTGGAAGATAAAATAAGCATTATGAAAACAGAGACATAAAATTCCACTGTCCTTCCTGTTCTGGGAAGTAGTCTGACATTTTTAAATCCCCAGATTTTGCCAACTAATATCTCTAGACCTCAAACAACTGAAATACTATAAAAATGCATTACTCACAAAAGATTTTTCTTACATCACACTGGGCTTTAAGATACTTTCTGCCATGCGTTGCCTTTGTATCAATATTTTTGAAATTACACTGTAATTTTATAACTCCCTCATAACAAACTGAAAACGGAACTCCTGAGTTTCCTCATCAGAAAGGACCACAGAAAAGACCTTAGGAAAGAAATATTCACTCACTTCTGCAAACTTGGTAATATGTTATTTAACTTTAATTTATATTTTATGCATAAATTTTACTTGTTAAGATGAAAGTACATTTGCTTTCCCTACTCCCAAACTCCAAGAAGTCACAGGGATGGACTCTTCCTAATAGTGCAGTAAAATATTTTTCAAACCATAAACTCATGTGTATATGTATTCTATTTTATATGTCTGCATTTGATCATTGGCCAGATAGTAAAAAAAAATTATTCTGGCAACATTCTCTGTTATTCTTATTCATATGATCCTAGAACTTCATGTGAAAACTGAATAGCAGAGATATATTATTGAATCTTTTAAATATATTTTTAATAATATAGTTTAAAATAGTTTTAGTATATATATTTTATATATATATACACACACAAGTTTATGGTTTATATATGTAATGTATATATATATATTATATATATAAAATAATATGGTTATATATTATATATATGAGCTTATGGTTTGAAGAACACACACATACACACATATATATACATCTTGTAACCAAGAGGTTAAGAAATTTTATAGCACATTTTAAAATTCTTTTCTTCCTCAAATCTATCATGCGAAAACATAATTCTTAATAGACTTTAGAGACCTACACTAAAATTATAAGAGTAATTTCATTTGTCTTTTGTACTGTGTAAGTGTAACAATCAAACAATAAACAATAGAAATTCTTTCTGGGTTTATGGTTTTTAAAGGAAATAATATTGAGCTTTTATATTTTGTCTTTTAATTGACTCCCTGGTATCTTCAGAATGATGTCTAAACTATTGGATCCAGATTCTGCAATTTGGACCCACGTACTCTTCTTACATTATCTCCTATTATGTTGTCACAAACCATGCCCTATAGCTAAAGATTGCTACTTTAGTTTATTATAATCAGAACTTCCTTCACTTTGTATACCTGATGCTAATCTTGGTTTCATCATACCTGTATATATAAAAATTCTAAACATCTTTCAAGGTTCATCTCATCTGTTATTCCTTCTTGAAGCTTGTTCTTATATTCTCTCTTCCCCAAATCTAAAAGTAAAACTTTCTACCACTGAGGCTTCAGATACTTTTAATACCATTTATTTGAAATTCATTATTTTTATTATAGTCATTTAGATTTAAGTCAACTCCAAGGTCTGTGAGTGAAAACTTATACCTGATTTTTTATTGTTTTCATAGCAGAGTATTTTTAAAATTATAGTTTATTATATCTGAATGTCTCAGAACAAACTCAAAGTCAATGCTTCCTTTCAATGTGCATAATCAAGCTATATTCTGTCATCATTACTTTAATAAGTAACATTATTTTATATGAAGAATAGAGTGCATATACATAAACCCATGCCCCAGTTGCCATTGCACTGGCTCTCATATTTTCCTCTAGACTTTTGAGCATAGTTTTAATAAACATTTTAAATCTATGTCTTCTAGTTCCAAATCTGGGTTATCTTGGAGTTCATCTTCATTGGTTGCTTTTTCTCTTAAGTAAGGGTCATAATTTTCCTGTTTCTCTATATGTCTAGTAAATTAGAATTATATTCTAGATGATGAATCATGTGTGGCAGAGATTCTGGATTCTGTTACGTTCCATCAAAGAGTATTGATATTTTGTATATACATTTTCAAATGTACAAGTATATGAGAATAAAAATATTTTTTTCTCAGACCTGCCTACAATCGTGAGGGGATTCTTCTTTACATGTCTATAACAATGTAAATGAGGGAACTCCCAGGCAATAGGCCAAATAGGAACAACTCCTGTCTGCAGCTCCCAGCAAAACCAACAAAGAAGGTGGGTGATTTCTGCATTTCCAACTGAGGTACCCAGTCCATCTCATTGGGACTGGCAAGACAATGGGTACAGCCCAAAGAGGGTGAGCAGAAGCAGGGTGGGGCGTCACTGCACTCAGGAAGTGTAAAGGGTTGGGGAACTCCTTCCCCAAGCCAAGGGAAGTCGTAAGGGTGCCTGTTGTGAAGGACGGTGCTATCCATCTCAGATACTACACTTTTCCCAGGGTCTTCTCAACTCACAGACCAGAAGATTTCCTCAGGTGCCTATACCACAAGGGCCTTGGGTTTCAAGCACAAAACTGAGTGGTCAATTAGGCAGACACTGAGCTAGATGCAGGAGTTGTTTTTGCATCCCAGTGGTGCCTGGAATGCCAGCGAGACATTCACTACCCAGGAAAGGGGGCTGAAGCCAGGGACCCAAGTGGTCTAGCTCAGTGGATTCCACCCCACAGAGCCCAGCAAGCTAAGATCCACTGGCTTGAAATTCTCACTGCCAGCACAGCAGTCAGAAGTCAACCCTATCTCTACAAAAAAATATAAAACCAGGGAGAGATTTAGTAAAGGAGTCCTCAAGGCAAGTGTCAGGGTTGGCTTCGAAACCTAGATATATCTGTCTTTAAAGAAAAATAAACTCTCTGTAACAATCTCTTTTGAAATGAAATCGAAGTGATCATTCAAAATTTTAAGCCACAGAAATATAAAAAAGAAAACTGTTAATAAACCATAGAGGAACATTATTTTCTTTATTTTTTTCTTTTTCTTTCTAATTTTTTTTTTTTTTTTGAGACAAAGTCTCACTCTGTCACCCAAACTGGATGGAATACAGTGGCACCATCTCAGTGCACTGCAGCTTCCGCCTCCCGGGTTCAAGCAATTCTTTGCCTCAGCCACCTGAGTAGCTGGGTGTTCAGGTGCTCACCACCACTTCCAGCTAATTTTTGTATTTTTAGTAGGAATGGAGTTTCACCATGTGGGCCAGGCTAGTCTTGAACTCCTGACCTCAAGTGATCCACACACCTCCGCATCCCAAAATGCTGGGATTACCAACATGAGCCACTGTGCCCAGTCTGGAACATCATTTTCAATGGTAAAACAGTGATATGGGGAGGGGAAATTTTTTCCCTTCTGAAAATGTAGTTTTTTAAATTTAAGATTTAACTTTTTGACAGTGTAGAGAGTTTGAAATTAATTTAATGAATGCTAACTTCAGAGCTTTCCATCCAAAGTGTACTAGGTCAAAATACATAAAAGTACATATTTTAAAAACCCTCATTCAAGTTCATCTGTGGTAAACTTCAAAATTATTATCATAGGGTGAAAGAATGAGAGGGCAGGTGTTGAAACAGCTGATGTCTCAGCTTACATTGTACACACTTTCTGTGTCTTTTTAACAGATCAAAACTAAGTAATAAATGTGGCGTGTTCAAAAATTGGCACAACCTACAAGACTTACATGTGTACACAGTACACTATTAGTTCCTTTTTAATGCTATGTTCATAAGACTTGGTGATTTTATTAAATCTCTCAAGTCATCTTTCCTTTTCCATTATTCTTCAGCACTCTGGGTTTTATAGCCAATGCTTAGTCAAGTTAATTTAAAGATTTACTGTCCAGAAGTTACAGTCAATTTTATTGTTTCTTTTTCTTTTTACCAAAAATGGTGTGAGTAATGACCTGTTTTTGACATAGCTTTCCTCCAGATTTTCTTAGCTACATTAA